GTGAGGAGTTTGAGATGTGCATAGAAGGAGCTGCTAAATATCAAAATAATTTAATAAAAAATATATTTTAGTACTTCCCCTGTTAAAAATGGCACTGTCAGAGCTGTGTGACTGTACGATGTGAATGATGCTAATCCAAGAGATTCCCAAGTAAAGAAGACTTGGTGATACTACCTGGGTCAAACCAATATTTCTTTCTTGCTGAAGGGCTGTTTCCCTACATGTGACCTTTCTTCAAGTGGCAAACTGCTGCTGTGGGAAAGCAATTTCATTGACACAACAGTTTTCCTGCTTTGTTGCAGCCACAAGTTGTTCAGATTTAAGCAGTTAGGAAAAAGGTAAACTCATAAAAATAAGACATCTTCCCAGTTCAGAAGAATTTTCTTTTTTGCATGAAGAGACCCGACTATTTACCAATTTCTCTGCATTATGGCAGAGCTTCTTGTAGATTTTATTTTTTTTCTCTTGATGTGTCTCCTGCACAAAGAGAAACATTATTTAATGTTTTCATTTGGTTCCACTGTGGTACAGGTGCACATGCCTAAGCACAGTTGGCTCCCTGTTGGCTTTCAGAAAGACTTGTCACCAAAAAGAAAGCGATGTGCCAGCACAGCGTTTAGCAAGGGGGTGAAGAAAGGGAAGTGGAAACCCAGCAACTGCACTTACCTTCCTAAATAGATTCTGTTTCACACTAGAGGAGCCCACTTCTCTGCTCTGCTGGTTCTCGTGCTAGTTAAGCAAAACTTGTCACAGGAAACAAAAATATTTGCCAATTTGGCTTTAGCGCAAAACCTATTCTTTGTTCTTCTGCATACATCAAATGTCAGCCTCTTGCACCCCTCTGACAGGAACCTGGCATGGAAACAAAACACATCCAGGTGCATCCTGGCAGGCAAACCATTCTGAGGGGTTTGTGGTCATGCTTGGTGGAGAAGAGGGGTTGGGCTTCTTAAGTCTGATATCCACCCATCACACTTGTCATGCTGAGAATATAATCTTTTATGCAAATACTATGTTTTGGATTAATCTGATCTTAGCCATCTAAAAGGCAGACATGGAATATTAATTTTCTGGCTTCTCTCCATCAGCTGGACACGTCCAGATTTGGAAATTTTAAAAGTGAAGGAATAATTCCTTCCCTTCAGGTGTCGTTTCCCCTATACCCAGTTTAGAGATGCTTTAAACAATTAGCTTTGATAAAACACCTCCCTAAAATTATGGGTGATGTATCTGTCCTTGGCTATTGTGTCTAATTAGTAAGAATTTTTTTTCCCCAATATGTAATAGGGAAATGTGTATATATTTATATGTTTGTTTCTATTCAGCCTGCTGGGTAGATTTCCTTTCATTGTAATTAGATTCAGGTACTCACTTCAGATGTTCTAAGTAGAGAAAACATTAAGATTGCTGAATTTTCATTACATCTCAAATATTCTATGAATCATTTATATGCAAATTTACTCAAATTTTACAGCATAAATCTTCAATATTAGTGTTTTCATAGTCTTTTCTTTGAATTTCAGTAGCATATTTTGAGGGAATTTCAGACAAGCATTGCCAAAACAGTAATAGGCTTCAATAAGTGCCTTTTGTAGACTGAAGTGACAGCTTTTGGGTTGGAAAATTTGATCTTTTCTTTAATATTCAGTAGTATTACACTGACAAAAAATACATTTATGATTCAATAGGCTGAAATCTGATAAAAAGCATTTAAAAATCCAAGTAGATTGATTGTGTGTAATCATTGCAAGAGAGTGGATTCAGCTAACAAAAAGGCTCTTTTACTATGCTTCACTGCGAAAATTTTACTTTTATAGGGATATGGCTGTGCAGCACATTATTGGCAGCTTATGTGCTGCAAATATGACCCTTTAGATTATTTTTTCTGCATTTAAAATGCTTGTTAAAAAATTTCAGAGACTTGTTTTCTTTGCCAATTTCCTCAGCACCGTTTTTATGAGCCAGTCAGCTCAGACAGTCTAATCTTTTTAGGTGTCAAGGTCTTACATTATGTTTCCTATGTTACCAGGCAGGCACAGTGCTAAATGTCTCTGCTGCAATTAAAACAAACAAACATCAACTTGTATCTGCCAAGACAGGAAGCTTTGACTTTGTGCACATTTACATAATATAATGAATATTTTTAGATGATATATAGTAATTAGTGTGATGCGCAGTGATGACATTTGTCTCTTGTACATAGATGAACTCTGAAAACAATGAAAATTAAATTTGGAGTGTCTATATTTATATGTAGACTGATTAAACATCTTTCTTTTCTCATTGAATTTCAGCTTTTAAACCATTCTGGTCTCTATAGTCAGAATCACTTGAAAGCTTTACCTCTCACACAGCAACAGCAAGAGTCGCTTTATGTTGTCTAGAAATTAGCCTGTAAGTCTACCTGCTGAAAGAGCCTTTTTAATAGGCCTAAAAGTATTCCAGGTGTGCCTTCTTTGTCGTTACAGATCTTGATTATATTGGTTTTAACACATATTTTTACGCAAACCAAAAATTTTACATATCTATAAAATGCTAATAAAACCAGCATTGCACTGCAGGTCTGCAGACATCCCAGTGTATCTTAGTGTATCTGTTAGCTGGAAAAGTTGCTCATTTTTCCTGCTTGCCTGTGTCTTTATAGGTTTTTTTCTGAAAGCATTCCAAGCATTCACCTTTCCCCCTACCTGCTCACCCCACTTATAATCACTTCATTTTTCAGACTGATTTTAACTTTCCTCTGTTCAATTAGTCTCCTGAAACCATACACTGGCTTATTGCAGTTCCATACAGCTGCAAATTGAAGCTTGATCTACACAACAGAGAAGCAAAAGCACATCTTTTATAGAACAGCTGACATTTGGGAAGTTTAGAGAAGCTTTTGGGCACAGTCTTTTATCATCTCTGGTAACTAAACAACAACTCAAACTAAGCACAGGTTAAAAGCAGTTTCTCTTAGTTTAATCTCATTATGTTAATCAGCTCTTTTACTACATGCACAACAGCTGCAGTAGCAACGAACGACTTCATTTCAGTGCCTTATAAAATGTCTATTTTCCTTTGCACACTCCACTCATCTGCTCTAGAACACATCACAGCTGGTGGCTCAGAGCTATGGGCTGAAGTCTAGTACAGTGCTTCCAGGCACCTCATTTGTCTGTCTCTTTGATGGGTATACATCCTAACTTTCTTTTTTGTGAACACAGACTTCATAGTCCTAATGGAGAAAAAGAGTGAGAATTTCATCAGTTCCATGATGAAAAGCTATCCACAAAGCATGGACCTACAGATTTTAGTTCCTGTTTGAAATAAATATGAAGACACAGCTTTCAGATCATAAACACATCTACTGTTAGAGTTTTAGTTTTAAGCATTAAATTAGCACCATCAAAACACCCCTAAATCACTAAAATATTAAAAATTAAAATGGAATTATAGTGTTAGTCTCACTGTAATTATCAGACATTATATATTTTCATACTGGTATGTGAATGAAAGGATCAGGAAATAAAAATTATATCTTGGAGAAATATTTATTTGCAAGTAGAATCCATAAGTACCTTCTTAAAATATGGCTTTCATGACCATTCAAGGGAGGAGAAATGTCTTCTATTTGCTGTGAAAAGCATCTTTTTTTGCTTATTTTCTTCTGCTGCTTCATATGTGACACTTCTAAGGAGGAGCAGAGTCATTGATGCTCAAACTACAGCTCAGTCCTAAAGCCACACCTGGAAGAAACCTGAAGAAAAGGTAAGAATACTAAAAGATCATATGGGCAGAATATTAAAAGACCATGTGGGCAGCATATCTCCAAAATTGTCTGCTATTGGCAAAGAGATGTTCTTTTTAGAAAATAAATCCATGTGCACTTTCTAACAAGTCATTACCTCACCTCAGATTAGCTGGCAGGAGGTTTGGAGTCCAGGTAAGAGATGGTTTTTGAACACCAGCCCTCCCCCAGTGCTGCAGTGCACTTTATAGAGCAAATACCTGGGATTCAGGTGTTTTCCACATGGCCGGAGAAGGGCTCCAGGTATTCCTTGTGTCCACAGGGAGGGAAGCAAAACGATGACTCCCACGGAACAACATTTCTGCAACCCCCTGCAGCTCTGCACAGTGACACCAACGCTAAAATTGTGCAGTTCTTCAAGTACTACATATTTCTGTCTCACTCTATTGTGTTTTTCCAGGGCTCTGTGAAATTCCACTTCTTCTTTTCCTCCTGAGGTTGCCCTTCAAAATATTACTGACTCCAGCTTAAGAGTTTCCCATCCAAACAAGGGAAACCCTCCATCTCCCTGAGTTTTCATCCATTTTCTTAATTTGTAGGCTGAATACATTATTTAGCATAACTGATGTGTCAGCACTTATTGTCAGTAAAGGAATATACTTGTGCATGGTTTTGTTGCCAAAATAAATATTATTTTCCTGCTTGAAAGGGTCCTGCAGACAAGAAAGCTACACTTGCAAAACCATAACTGCATCAAAGAATAAGATATTACCACCTCAGTGTCAGGCCAACAAGAGTTGCTTTTTAAATATGGACTAAAACAAGATAGAAAAATGCATAAAATGTTATTTCATTAGTTCCTCGTTTGACGGTTATTTCTTTATATCACATTCATGGTGAGAGGATAATCCCTTTAGCTCAACAACAACTCATTAACCATGTTCTCTCAATTAGAAATAGCTTATTTTCTAACCAAACAAACCCCATAAACACTCCTGCCTCCAGCTCATAATGATTTTCTATAAGCAAGTCTATCAGAGGCAAAGTACAAGGAGGGAGCTTGGTACAAAAAGAAGTGACACAGGAATGGAAGATATTTCTGATAACATAAAGCTTGATTGTTGTACACATTGTGTGCGTTTTCTGACAGTTTAGGATGTCATAATGAAAGGAGATTTGGAAAGCTGAAAATGGGAGAGAAGTGTAACTGGAGGAATACTTTTAAAACCCTTATAATGAAACACAAACAAAACAGCACAAAGTAGAAAACTGCTTTTGTGGATCTAGTTTATTAATAAGCATTGTAATTAACAGGACAACATGCTGTACAGAAACCTGAAATAGAACTACTGCAAATTTACTGGACTTCAAATGCTCCTGGACTGTAGTATATGGTGTCCAGCTGCATGATTTGTAGAGTGTGGTTAGGGCTGTTTCAATACACAGACATACACTGCTCACTCTCAGATCCTGTAGTATGCCATAGAGCAGGGAGATTTCCCAGAAATACAAACTCAAATATTTACAAGAAATCATCAATCTCTTTCTTCACTAGGGATAACATAAGTTATACACAATTTTCCTATGTATACCAAATAAAATCTTTGCCTTCAATTTTACTTTGTGTCAGCACAAACCAATTCCTTCCTTTTTATTTATCCAGTTAAATAAGGGTAGTTAACTGCAGTGTGATTGTTTAATTGCTCATCATTGATTAAGGATTGGTATTAAACTTGCAAAAGGAAAACATGAGGAATCAAAGTTAAGTGTAAGTTTTCAAACTTTAAAGCCTCAGACTTTATAAGACTCAAACAACCTTGAGCTAATCGACCATTCCTGATAGAAACTGTTTAGGTCTGTCTTTGGCTCGATCGTGCTGGAAGGAGGTGATGGAGCTGGGGGCTGACGGGGTTCCACACGGGATTACAGCTCGCTCAGAACACAACGGGGCAAACCTTCCCTTCTCTTACACAAACACCCAAGCAGATCTCAGAGATGCAAAGAGGCTGCTCTCCTCCGGACCTGGCTGGGCTCGGGACCACATAACTAATGTTAGATCAGGCCAGCCTTTGTGCTAACATTCATAAACCCTCAGGCCCTATTAGCATGGGCTCATTGCCATGATAATTAGCTAAATGACCTGCATCCGGCCAGCTCGCAGCCCAGAGAGAGCAGGTGCTCAGTGGTCTCTGTCTGGCGGAGCAGACATGCCTAATTATTCTTTCTTTAGAATTAAGTTACACTTCAGAATACAGCACAGTTTAGAAAAACAAAGAAACAGCATATTTTACTTCAAACACTTTGACTCAGTTCTTTCTTTTAACTGTTTGTTGTTTTTTTTAAAGAATTGAGTGCTTTACAATATGGAAATAAGAACCTTCCTTTCTGCCATTACTACCCATAACTTTGATGCAATAGTTGGAAGTGCAACAAGTATTGAGTTTGGAGAGGGGAAATTATCTAGACTAGACTGTTTGACACATCACTTTGAAGGCAAAGGTTTTCCTTTATTGTTACACTGTATGAAACAAATCTAATCATGTAACTACCATTTTACTGTATATTGTATATAGGATTGTTTTCTCCACAAATTCACACAAGTAAGATAAAATAAGTTAAATGACTAAAAAAAAATTACACAAAAATATACAGTCTATGTACTAGATAAATTATTTATATATATGGCAAGATGTGTAACAAGTCTCTAGTAACATTATTCCTCTGGATACTGACATGCTACTCAGAAAAATGTTGCCTCAAATGTGTAGTTTTATATATTAGATATGTAATATATAAAAATGAGGGAACATTTTATCTTCTTAAACAATGTGTATTTACAATTAATTGTTCTGTACCTTGCTGACTGAATTCTAGAATATCAGAACATATTTTCATGGACATAGCATTTAATACTTCATATAATCAGATTAATCTTTACAATGCCTTTTGTTTAAGCGATATTTTGTTGTTGTTTGGTTTGGGTGTTTTGTTGGGGTTTTGTTTGTTTGTTTTCAAGAGAAGGGGATTGCTTAATTGCTTCTGTATCTTAGGGAAAAAAACAAAATAACCCCTAAACACACTTAAATTAAGTGAGGTTTGTTGTTTGGCTTTTCCCTACCAATGAAAAAAACACTAATTCTGGTTCCTTCACTATTTCCTATGAAAATCCTAACATGGTAGAAATTCTTTGCCAGAAAATTTCAGTTACAATTTTCATCCAAAAAGGAACTGTTGCAGGCAAAAAAAAAAGGAGAGTTTTCCAGTGGAGCTGCCAATTCTGTAAGCATTTGGTATGGCAGCCTTCTGTAATAAAAACTGAAGACCTCTGTGTACAATAGGAAGCATTAGCTGTCAGCATTATTCTAAATTTGCACAATTAGTATGTTTGGTAAATCTGTGTAAACTAAAGATAAGCTGCTTTTTTTTGCATATCCCTGAAAAGAACTGCCGAATTTTCTCATTCTGATGTGTCCAAAGCAAACAACAAAGGGTTTTGTATGTATTAGGTATGAATTAATTTGTCAAATTTTTCATTGTCCTGGAACTGGAAATGAGATGTGTCAGCTACTGTGTGTCAGTACCCAAAGGATTGTTATTTTTTCCCAGGACTTACATGCAACTGGAAGCCAGTGTGCCACATCTTTTCTAAACATTATTGAAAACTACATTAAAAAAAAGGAAAGCAAAAGAAGTACATCATTAGATAATCTGATGTCCATTAATTAAACCCTATCAATAGGTTAAAAGTGAAGCTTTTTTTTATTATTATTATTTTGCACATAAATTCTAAAAGTGATTTGAATAGATTTACAGTGGGGACAGCAATATATAAAGCTACTTATACCTGCTGGGCACATAAGAGAAGCTCTTTTAGCATTCATTGGAAACCCTCAACAACTTGAACTTCTGTAAATTTTACAAGCAGCTAATATTACAGCATTTTTACACACAGTTTTGTTTATAAATTACAGATTTAAGTTACATTATGAAGCCTACATAGAATTCTATCCATAGGAAATATTCACACACTGTCTTTTTTTCCCCCTCCATACAACTTCGATTGTCTCACTTAATGTAGCAATAAAACTAAGAAATTATGCATTTTATTAAAGAAAAAATTCCTTGGTATGTACATACTGTAAATTAAGAAATGGCTAAACAGCAAAGAAATATTAGAAGGAAATGCTAGAGGAAAAATATATTTTTTCATCTAAGAAAGGAATCTCTTTTTCATCCACTGTGGAATTTACCAATAGAATGTATTTTCCAGTACAGAGAACACTGAAAAAAATCACTCATCTATAAAGAGAATCACCTTGAGACTTTATCAAACAATAAGACTGGGGTGTGTTTATATTTATCCAGCTTTCATTACCTAGATTCTTCTTTCTTTGCTGAGCACTATCAGTCATTCTCTAATAACTAATCCACAATGACAAGTACTTCTTAATCTAATAGGTTTGTGGTGAAGTAACTAATTTATAGTTAAACTTTTACTGAATACTTACAATAGGTGAATATAGCTGTAAAAAAAAAAGCCGTACATATCACTATAACACTTTTTTAAACACTGGTATCTTGCAGTCACGACAGCACATCAGCCAAAAAAACTACCCCACTTTCCTACTGTTTTCAGCAGTGCCCATGTAATTTTCAACTAACAGGAACAGTAGCCAAAGCAAGCTCTGCAAGATGAGAAAAAACAATTAAAGAAAAAAAAGAGAAATAAACTTATGGCTTGAAAACATAGTATGTATAATATTGTTCCTTGAATTATTGTAGAAATATTTGGAAATTCAAAGTTACTTATAATTTTTTTCCAGTTTTGTTCTGGCATGTCCTATCACTGTCATGTTGCTTATTTCACACAGAAAAGCCAGTTAAGAACTTTCTATTTCATCTATAACATTCTTTCAAAGAATAAATACCTGTATATTGAGCCAATAAAAATTAAAATAAAAATCAGTTGTCGTGTCTTTAAGTACATTTTCCTTCTTAATTACATAAAGGATAAATGGTAAGATATACAATCCTTCTTAAGAATTAGATTTTAGGATTTATTAATTCTATTATGTCAAGTAATCAAATGAGAAATTGCTCACTTGATCTCTAATGCTAAGCAAACGGAAGATGAAATCTATGAATATGCTATAAATCATAACAACAAAGAAAAATTTGAGTAAGCTATTTTTAGACTGTAATATTCCCCAAACTGTACTAAGAAATTGCTTTCAAAGGGAGGAAGAACTTCTGGCAGATATTTTTACTATATGGCCCATGTAAGAAAATGAACAGGATTTTGTTTGTCTTTCACTTGTTTCTGGGTTGTGGGTTCTCTTCCCCATTTTGTGGATATTACCAAGAACTGCGGTAAACACCTTTTAACTAAGTCCTTAAGGATTTAGATGATCAGTTTCAAATTTAGGATCCTATATACACAAATATTCACAAGCCTAACAAGTGTGTACGCGCCCGAAGCGGAGCGTTAGGCTGTGACTATACACAGTCCCTTAAAGCCTGGAATGAGGGATTTGTCAGATATGCCTTTACAGCTGGTGCTCGTGGACGAACGCGGCGCCGCTCCCGGAGCCCGGAGCCTGGTGGGAGGCGGCGAAGTTTGCCAGAGGAATGACTTTGACGGGATCTTCGCTGGCGCAATGTCTCTCGCAGGTGTTGTAGAACTGGGGCCTGGGCCCCCCCTGGCCTTTGTCACTGTCATCCTTGGGAAGGGGCCTGCCCAGAGTGTGCCGTCCCTCGGGCCTGGCCCCCCGGCCCCAGCCTTGCTGGAAGCCAAACGATGGCAGGGAGGTGTTGGGCTGCTGGAACTGCGTCAGAGCCGGAGGCATCCAGCAGTTGTCGGAATGGCCGAGGATCAGACACTCCTGCGTGCAGTTTTCAGAGGCTTCAGCCAGAGCTTTCTGGAGATTCACTTCTATAGCTGGGAGGAGGGAAAAAGACAAGGCATTATCGGGGATACAAAGACGGATGCACAAAGGGAATCAAGGTCAACAAAGCAATATCTGTTCTACAATAATGGCCAAGGTTTGGGAAGGAATTACCTCTGGGTGCACAACTGAAGCAAAGGTTTAGGTGTTTGCAAGTTTTTGGACCACAGTGTTCTCACTGGACATCACCAGAAAACACCTAATGTTTAATGAGCAGCTGATACCATTATTACAGCTGTGTAACTAAAGCCTTTATACAGCCTATTTCATAGAATCATAGAGGCTGGAAAAGACCCATAAGATCATCAAGTTCAACTGTTACCCCAGCCCTGCCAGGGACACCACTAAACCATTTCCCAAGTGCCACATTCACATGCCTTCTGAACTCTTCCAGGGACAGTGATTCCACCCCTTCCCTAAGCAGCCCATTCCAATGCTTGATGACCATTTCAGAGAAGAGATTTTCCTAATATCCAACTTAAGTCTCCCCTGGCACAACTTGAGGCCATTTCCTCTTGTCCCATCCCTTAGTCCAATGATCCTTTCACTTTTTGAAATGTTAATTTCCGTAATAAAGTTAAAAGCTTTCTAATAAGCTAATGCCATTCTTCTAGATATTTGCATAGAGCTACTTGGAGAAAATACAACTATTAAAATTACAATTTTTAAAAAATGCTTTCTTAAAACTAGGGTTTTTTAACTGTTTGGCTTTGCTTAAGACAAAACAAAGCTAATATGGACATTAGCCAAAGATGCTACATTGGCTTCAAAGATGCATTCAAGAGCTTTAAGAATGAAAGAGCGTAACAACTATTTTAAAGAGAATTGATTTCTCCATGTATTCAATGCTGGAAACCTTGAAAAATCAAAGGGTAATAGCAAAAGAAGATGTAACCTCTGTAGTTTACTAGTAATCGAAGCAGATTTCTTCAGTAGATGCAAGGTTTGTGCCCTTGAAAAAGGATTATAGAAATTATAATTTGTTCAAAGGCAAAGTAAACAACTAAATCTGAAAGGTGTTAATTTGCACACATAAACATTCCTGATCAGTTCCATCTAAACTGTGGCTTTATCACATTGTGTAAATTAAAACGAATAGAATTAAGTTTCTACATATGATTCCTTGAAATAGTTTTCATGTTACATGTGTTAATTTTATATTCTCTTGGTGTGTACTTGGTTAAATACATCAGAAGCATAGAAGAATATCTGATTAGATATCTCACTGTGCCATCTTCACAAAACTTTCCAGTGAAAGGTGTATACATGTTTTTAATATCTGTCTTAATGAAGATAACATTTAAAATTGGATTCTGGCTCATAGGCACTGGAGAAGGTATGCCACTAAAATTACTTAGAGCAAGAAGAGTGCTGAGTAGAAGCCTCCCACCCTCTGAGCTTTATGTTTAAACAGATGCTGCATTTCTGTTTTAATAAATCCTTTGCGCGTGGAAATCTGTGTAAAGCTACAGAGCACAAACACTCCTTTCCATGTTACATTTCAATACAAATGAATTAAGCTTTTCCTCAAGGCATTGAAATATATAATGCTGCTGTCCAAAACACAGGATGCATCTTTTTGAAATCTACCATGTTTAAGTAGACAACTGGTTGCCTGTTTTATCGTGAATGCTCTATTCTTGATTATTTCTCCTTGAGTATGTGTCAGTCAGAGAAGTGATTGTTTATAAATGTTATTTTGGCATATTACTGGCATTTCAACATGTCTTCAGTCATTTTGCCTGAGTACTTTTCAGTGTAATCCTGACAAAGCTTTGGCACCTTGATGCTGAAATACTAATCCAGTTATGATGGGCAGTAGGAGACATAAATATGGAAATAATTCAGTGGAGACAACAGTTCCTGCAGGAAAAAAAAAAGTTGCTACTGGTGGATTAGTCTAATCTTTCTGTGTCCTACTATCTGCTATTAGAGACATAAATCTGACTATATACAAGTCTTTTAAGCTCTTTAATTATCCAGGTTTGCTTCTATTCTGATCAAGACAATTCACTGAAATCAGGTACAACCTTGATGGAGTGTTGAGTTACCCCCAGTTTACAGTGAAAATGATTTTTTTCCATTTATTAAAAAAATACCAAATTTGATACCAAATACCTTAATGTTTCTTTTTATCTTGAGGCTTTCTAGTGGCTCTTAAAATGCTATTAATTCAATTAAACTGTATAAAACACACAACCATTTATTTGGAAATAATACTTACGCATTTCTAGTTCTACACAGCAACTATTACAATACTTATATTTTGCCATCTCTCTCAAACTTCAGTAAGAGAGTAAACAAAGCTAAAACATCAAAAGAAACATTTGACAATAAAAATGTAACATTTACGCTTTAGACAAGGCAACTGCAGAACTAAAAGGTCACTTATAAACACTCTCTACACCATTTCAACAGATCAGTAGGATGGTAATTTTGGGCCATGTGTTGCCAGATTACCTGTAAACTGGGAACACTCCATGCCAAGAGTAAGAGTATTGTCAGAATTACAGTCCTGCTTATTCTGTTAATAAAGAGATATTTTACTCTGGGTTTTAGTTTAATTAATAAAAACCACCAAAAACCACTGAAACCACCACCACAAAAAAAACCAAACAAGAACTCAAACTCCAAAACTTTGGAACAATCCTGGGAATAATCATAAGTTATGAACACAAATTATTTTGGTGTTAAGTTGGGGTTTTGTTATGCAAAATCTGCCAATGCAGGACTGTTTAGAAGATACACCTTTTGTAGCAGTTATAATCTTTCAGATATATATCAGCTTTGGTATTTGGTGCAGGTATTGTTGGTTGTCAGAGTATGCTTTTCATCAGAGCTTATGGTTAATAATATGCAAAATATAAAGTTTTCCTTAAATTTGAAAAGACCCTCTCCTACTGAGCACCTCTGCAGTGTTGCAGAACAGGAAATAAAAGGTATTTCGCAAATACAAGTACTTTTCTGTATGATTTTTGACTCAATTCTTTTTTCACTAGTAACAACTAAGTTTTGTTTTATAATATACTGCATTCATTATCAAAGTCAAACAAACAAACAACTCCCCCCAAGCAATGATAACCTTAACTTCTAGACTAAATTTAAAAGGGGCACATTTTTAAAAATTATTAATAATGCAGTTTTTGTATGGTTTTTAATCCAAATCACCTGTTTCTAATAGCATTAGTGCAACCCTAAGGCAGTCTTTAGGAGACTGGGTGTGCTGTAGGAAACACGAGGGAAGCAAAGCCACCAGTAAATGCATTTAAAGGAAATTTAAAAAAATTCATTGATCAGCTGCAGTAAATAATATTAGCAAGGACAAGGGATGCAATACAGTTTTCATTTGGTATAAAGTAAAAAAATATAAAATCAGCAATACGAGAAACTATTTTTTAGGAAAATGAAGTAAAAATTACTCTTGGAGAATAATTCAACCCAGAACAAAATGTAGGAAATTTTCTGCATGTATTTTCAACAAGCATTATCTTTTTTTACCTGCTCTTCCAGGCCATGAAATACACCCTCTTTCTGTCAGTCTAATTCATTCTCTGTTTTCCTAACATATCATTCTCCTGCTTATTCAGCATCTGAAATCCTCCTAGATAGTTACTTGGCACGGGCATTGCACTGAGCAATGTTTCACTTATTAAAACCACACTTTTAACAATTCCCTATTTAATCAGAGAAGGGAGCTTTTTGTCAGCAATGTATCATACAGATGGTGCGGACTTACAACGCAGCTGATTTCCAAATATTCTGTTACAGACTTTACACACAAAGAGGTCACTGCACCCAGCACTGAGGTGTCCTCACCACCCTGTCTGCCTTCCCTTCCACCACTTGCTGCCTGCTGTAAACACAGGATTCTGTGCCTGGCTCAGCTGAGCATCCCAGAGGACCCTGGGAGGAGGAATTCCAGCCACGCAGCTGGGGGAGTGTGAGGTTCAGAGCTCAAGTGGTCATTTACCAGAGTCAGTGCTAATTGACCATGGCATTTTCTAGCTGCTACTCTTTAAGCTTCCTTCTATTTTGTATCTTTGCAAGTCACTGTAAATGTGGATGGCAATAAAATTTTCTGAGCCTTTGTCTCTCATTCAAATGTAATAATGTAGGTGATTATTCTGCGTAGTTTGATAAGTAATCAGGGGTAGGAAACATCTGTGGCATCTGCCTCTACCAATCAAGGAAAAGAAAGTTCCTGCTACCTGAATATTTTCAGAAGAAATTTTGGTTTTTGCTACTGAAATTCAGTGTCTAGGAAATAGAAGTGTACATATTCCCCATGTGTTATAAACAAACAATACATTCCATTGAACTCTTACCCATCTACTTAATTTCTTACTTCACTCAGTTATAAACCCTCAGTTTTATATTTTTTTTCATACTACGTGGAGACTCTTCAAACATGACATACAAGTACTATGAAAGAGAATTTTTAATTCATATAATAGATCACACTCATGCACATGTGAGTTTAACACTTTGATTTGAATTCCAGGTTGTTTTAGGAATGAAACTATTTTTTTAAATTCTCTGCAGCAGAACTAAGAACATTTTTAAAGAAAGTGTCTGTCAGGTCTTCTGAAATGTTTAGATCAGAACTGTCAAATATAACTAAAAGCACAATAGTTAAAAGGCTTTCTTCATTGTTCCACAGCCTTATCATTTATAGGCCAAAGCAGTTTTCAAGTAAGAATATTTACTTTCCCTCAAGAAAAAGGGGAATTTCAGCCTCACCAGACAACTATCCTTCAGTCAACCCTTTTTTTTTTATTTTTCATTAGAGGCTTCCTATGGTTATAAAGTCTGTGTGGGATTTTAGAGATAGTAAATAAAAATGTTGGTTATCCTCTTGGTATCTGATTTACAACACACTTTCTTTTCTACTGCTATGGCCTCCCCTCCGTCCTCAAAAGAGAGACAAACTACTCAGACAATATCAAGAGGGCTGGTTCTTTTCTCAGTCTGCCATAAAAGTCATCACTTGCAT